TGTGTGTGTGTGTGTGGTAGAGTCTATTGTGTTATGCTTTTTTAACAAGGGGGCTATGTGGATTGAACCTGGGGAGGTTATAATTTCTTAACTGATATATTTCAAAAGCTTATGAGACCCTCAAGTCTCTGAGTCTTGGACAAAACCATGGCTTGCTTCATTCTAACTCTACTTGAATTACCACTCGCAAGCTTTACTGAGCCTTCTTCCTGGTATAAAAATTGGATTGAAGCAAGATGAAGCTGTCTCAAAGACTTGGGAGATTTATTATTTCCGAAATTGTGAAAGTGCACCCAGCCAGTTTGGTGTTTTAAACAGCTTTTTTCGTTGTGAAATATACTGATTCTGGATCTCCCTTGTTCTTTGTCAAAATGACTACATTCTTGTATAACGTTCTTTCCATATCGCATATCTATCATGGGCTAGCTGTATGTGAATTCTCAGAACCTGTTGTGATATATTCGTCATTGTAAGTGTCCTGACAAGGCTGTGTGGAATTTGGGTGATGAATTTGGTAGTACTCTTGAGACTGCTGGTCCAGCTTTCAATTCCAATGGAGTCGTCAAAATACTTCGTTTTCTTTTAAGAAAGAAACTCTGACCGAGTTAATTCGAGATTTTTCACTTTTAATCTACCTCTTGCCTTCCTTTAAAGAAATTCAAGCTGTTCAAAATTTAATTTCTGTATCGCTGCTGAAAATTGACTTTTACTGTGATTCTATCACATTTACTTTCGGTGCTATTTTGAGCTTCGTATTGACTGATCGGGAATGGAAATCAAAGAGAATCTTTGAAGGAAATGTAATCTCCTTCTGTATGATAGTCGATGTGCTTCTTGGTATCCTCTTTGTCAGTTTGAAAGGTTTTATGAATTTGGCCACAGAAAACTGAGTGTAAGTATCGCGTTATGCCTTTGTTGCTTAATGGCGTTTGTGGTTTTACTGGTATACAAACGTAGTCTGTTGCCCTTTTAACAAGGAAAACCATGTACAGACAATTTTTGCCTAACAATATCTGCCGGTCACTGATTTTGTTTTATCAGTGAATGCTGCTGTTGTACGACGGCTGTCAGAAAGATAAGGTGAAATTAGTTGTAAATCATAAAGTAATAGTCCTGTTTACAATCAATAAGTCGCAGAAAGGTGTCACAATATTATAAGAACGCTTTTGTTGTATTTTTCGGAAGTGGTTGGGTTTTTTGTTGTTGTT